AGTTCGAGCCTGCTCCTCCTTTCCGTGGCTCATGAGCCATCTTGGACTTTCCGGGATGAACCATACTCCGCACAAGATGATCGTTGCGGGGACGACTTGAATGATGATGGGGATCCTCCAGGACCAATTCGACGATAATCGGCCTGTTCCATAGGCAGTCCATGTAGATGCTGGGAGCATGTCAGCAAAGGAAAGGCAATTTGGCTGTGCAACTAGAATGCAACTGGAACTCACCAAGTGATCCAATATACCAGCCGCCAACATTGTACAGACCAGCCAAAGTTCCGCGCCAAGACGGATAGGCCATCTCCACCAGATAGATAGGAGATGCAGTTACCGCGATGGTGCAGCCAAATCCGAGGAACAGTCTCCCCGCCATGAATGTGCCGACATTCTGGGCCGCCGCTTGAATCACAGTACCAATGATGACAAAGACTGACCCGGTCATCATACCAAACTTTCGCCCAAAAGTATCGGCAGCAGGAGCGGCAACAAGGCAGCCAAGAATATTGCCGACACTGTAGAGTGCAAAGACGGCTCCGATAGAAGAGCCTTGCATTTCTGTGCCGAAGAATTTATGGAAGGGATCCATAGCGTTAATGGATGACATGATAGTTCCATCAAAGCCATTACCGCAATTATCTATCGATGGTCAATATCTGTAGGGTATCTGCTTATTGTTATGAGGCTCCTTACTCAACGTGACAAGAGCAATAATCGCATAGAGCTTGAGGATGGACGGTGCGCGCGGAGAGAGGTTATCCTTGGCAATGGCATCACTATAGGCAACATTTTCGACTTTGGCTGTCTTGGATGTCGCCAGATCAGCAGCCGCCGAGTCAGGAACCCTCTCCACGGCCTCGACCTTATCGTCTTCTTTCTGCATTATGGTATGGGAATCGCTGAAGAGGAATTCCGTGGGTAAAGAAAGAGAATGAAGGCATCATGCTGTGGATTACAACAACTTAAATATCTATAATGATGTCTCTTGCGAGTCAGTGTACTCTTGCGCGGCATATCCATGCCGAATCGACTCTGTTAGATGCGGGGACGGGACAACCCTAACTGAACCGAATTCATGAGTTGATGTTGGATGCGAGTTCGGGACGAGGCTGGCCGCGCCTGAACGAGTAAAGTTGGGTGGAGGAGACGGTGATCCGTGACCATGGCTGCAGCTATGTCTTTTGTGATTTGGGATTGGTCACTTGGCCAGCACATGCTGCCCCACAACCACGCCGAACTGTCTCGATTAGGAGCGGGAGCCGAGCCTAAATGAGACCGGATGGAGACTGACCGCGCCTGAATAGGTTAATTGACCTGAAGTACGAAAACTCTGCTGCAAAAGCATCGCTCCACTTCCCCGCGCGCGGGGGATGATCGATTAGAGCACACAATACAACATCAGATGATCGAATGATCGAATGCGGGGAGGCAGACCGACGGGGATAAGAAATGTGATGGGCTCTCGGTAGAAGCGGTAGAAGAGACATAATACAATAAGGGCAAACAGTACAATAGTGATATGTACTACTTACGGAGAAATAGATAACTATCTATTATGTAACTAACATGAAATCTACAGGGTAGTGAGTTTTGTTTTACTGAAAGATAAGGACTGCAATATAATGGGATGTCTAGTGTCTAGATATTATTGCAATTGCAATTCGGCGTCTCAATGCACCTGGAATTCAGTATCCACTTCTACTTTATTTGTAACAGCACTATTGCTAGGGAACCCGGTTAGATCAAAACAGCCACTAAGCTTCAGGATCTGACTTCGTCCGTCCAACCGCAAGATGATATTCACGAATATTTCCATTTTCAGTGCGGATCTTATGACGTGTTAATCATACTAACTCCGGGTGATGTTTGAGTGCCTTGTCTACCTCACTACACCAGCATCCATGATTGTCCCAAAACAGTGATGTATGATTATATATATTACTGCTAATTACCAGTAATTGTCAAACACCAGTCAGTTCCACCACCCTGCATAGTGCGAGCCCCCTTTACAAGCAACTTGAATCTTATAGCTATGAGAATCTTCACTCCACTCAGTCTGTTTGCTCTTGCAACGGCATCGGCCACCAAGGGCCGACAAAGACAGAGAGAAGTAGCACCGGTCTTCAACATCAATGGAAAGAGCCAATACTTCGCTGGCACCAACACCTGGTGGATGAGCCACCTTACTTCAGATGACGATGTGGAACAAGCCATGTCTCAGATAGCTGACAGTGGACTGAAGGTCACTCGCGTCTGGGCATTTGGTAACACCAACACAGGAACTGACCAGCCTGTCTACTTTCAGTTCCTCGACACGACCAAGAACACCATCACGATCAATTATGGGACGAACGGCATCGCGCGCCTTGACGCCGCTGTTGCTGCCGCAGAGAAGCACGGCATCCAGTTGGTTCTACCCATGCTGAACAACTGGGATGACCTGGGAGGGATCAACACTTACTGTGCCTACTTTGGATGCACCCACGAGAGCTTCTGGACCCATGCAGAGGCTCAGAAAGCCTACAAGGACTATGTAACCTTCATCGTCAATCGTTACAAAGACTCTCCTGCAATCTTCTCCTGGCAGCTCTGCAATGAGCCACGGTGCCAGAACTGCGAGACCAGTGTAATCACTAGCTGGGCCACAGCTCTATCAAGCTTCATCAAATCTCTAGACCCAAAACATCGTGTGTCCTTGGGCGACGAAGGCTGGCTCTGTTCCGACGACGCCAGTCTCGGCTACGCCTACTCCTGCTCCGAGGGAATCGATTTCGAAGCCAATCTGAAGGTATCCACTCTTGACTACGGTACCGTTCATATGTACCCAATTGGCTGGGGTTACACGTATCCCTGGGGCAACCAATGGATCCGTGATCACGCAGCACTGGCGCTCAAGTATGGCAAACCTATCGTTATGGAGGAATATGGCGTCGAGAGCACAGCCTCAAATCGCACAGTTGTCCTACAGCAGTGGCAACAAACAATCATTGACAGTGATGTTGCATACGATAGCTTTTGGCAATTTGGGACAAACCTTCCAAGTGGCGCAAACCCTTACGATGACTATGCAGTATTCTATGGCACGCAGGAGTACCAAGATGTGGTAATTGATCATGCTCAGGCCATAAGCGCAAAGAGTGTGTCAGCTGCTGCCCGCCGCCGACGCTCGCCTCGTCTCTTCAACTAAAAAGATCTCCAAACGATCGAATTCTTTGTAGCATCATCCATTAACATTAATGTCAACCTCGATGGCTGTGCCAGGAGCAAAGAAGAAATCAAGACATACTACTTCTTGTGAACTGAACTTGTAGCAACAGATGTTATTTATTTATTTTAGCCTATATACCGTCTTTACCTATCTGTCAAATCTCTGCAACACTTGTTCCCCAGTGACTAGCACTCTTAACTTGATATTCTTACAGGCTATTCTTTGCTTATGCCCCATGTTACCCTTCTACACTAAAACCTTTTCTGTGTAGCTTCTGAGATGTTCTCTTGGATGGAAAACAGTGACTCATTCACCTCACAGCCTCTTTCAAGGAAGTCAGGATTCATCTTTAGCTGCACTCAAAGTCGACGGGGGGTGAAATCTAATCCACTCGGGATACCACTCGGCGGTGCCTTCTTTCCGACATTCGGGAACCTCCGCTTCAAGAACACGCAAAAGCTCTTCCATATAGATTCGATAACCTTCTTCGTTCAGGTGAAGACCATCGTAGAAGAGTCGCCCAAGCTCCATACTGGGGACTGTCCTTGAAGACCCGGGCAAGATTCCATCAACAACATTATCTTTCTGCTTTGCAGTGCGCATCATTGCAGTCCAAAGGTCAACAACGGGTACATTTTCCTGCTCCCCAATATCCCGAATCGCGTCTGCATACATCGCCACTCGGTCTGCCCTGCCCTTTCCATCGTGTGGCAGCCGATACTCTTCCACTGGAGACGGTGTCACAAGGAGTACTTTGGTCTTGTGAAGTCTGACACCCTCCCAGTTCAGAATACGCCTGACATTGGCTTTGAAGGTGTCAAGGTCGCAATGCTGAGGCTCGCCAGGGCTACAAGAGTCGTTGGCGCCAAAATGAACTGTCATAGTAGCGACGCGAGGAACAGTTCTTGACGGTGCCACTGCTGGGAAGAATGAAGGTAGCAGTGCCAAAGCTGAGTTGGTGTTGTACCCACCGAAGCCCCGGTTTATTACATCAAGCCGGCGCACATACCGTCTTGCCAGCTCGCTCTGGAGTGAAGAGGCGCCTTGTGTGATAGAGTCTCCAAAGAGGAGGAGGTGCGGTGGTGGGGGGAGGGATGCAACTTGGGCAGCAAGCTCTAAGGGTGATTGGTATGACTGGACGTTCATAGCTGCGATTGGAATTTGAGACATGTGGTGATGACTTCTATACAGCCTGATTTAGTCTTGGCAATAGAGCGATTGATGACCTGCCTGACCAATACAAGATAAAGTATGAAGTGAATTTATATGTCTTATTAAAAGCAAGGAATTTAACGCCTCTCTAAATTGATACTAGCCTCTGGGTTTCCTATTTAGGCACGGAACAACCTGTCCCGATACCCAGTTTTTCAAGGGAGAAATAATGCCTAATAACGTGCAGCCATTAGATAGGAAAAGAAACATGTATGTGACCGCGGTCTAAACAGGCTAACCATTTTTTAAAAAAAAAGTTTGGAGTAGACTCCGATCTAAACACCGCTTATAAATGCATAAACTAGGCTGCTTCTAACAGCGGATAGAACGGCATGTAGTCCAGGACCTAAAGCAATACATTACAGTCCTGTCTTCACTTAGCCGAATAAGTTGCCATCAATATTTATCTAGGGTAGCTAACTACATAACTCTTTACATGCTATTTAAGATTGTGGAAAGAGGATCCTATTGAGTCAGATATTCCAGCTTGTGGTAAAACCTATAGGCTTCTGTCGGATAACCCGAGGTGCTCATTTCTTCTAGAACCTTCAAGGTTTCTAATTAAAGTCGGCCTCTCTTATCGATGCCGTTTAGGCGGGGGCAAGCTAAATACCCGGTCACTAACGTTAAACTTGAGCAACCAGATGTTCACAATGGCTGCTCTACCAGAATGGACAACTTCAATGCCTTTGGCAATTGCTGCATCTAACTCTCTGGTCTCCTTGACACTTGTTCCCCAATCAGCTCCGGCAGCCACCGCAATTTGTGAGTGATCACAGCTCGGGTTAAATGTGACATGCAAATCGTCTGCCTGGGCCATTCTGCTCGAGTGCCTGTTCTTATGAACGGCTAAGGCGCTCAGCATCAGGCTCTTCCGGCCTCTATTATTCAGAATCACAGTCAAAAAGGGGATGTTGTACCGTCGCGCCATCCAGTACACCGTAGATGGAATACTGAACATGAAACTACCGTCGCCCGTTACAGCCACAACCAGTCGGCCTGGATGAGTCATTGTAAATCCAATGGCAGCTCCGCCGTGCCAACCCAGGGCGGTTGCGCCAGAGGTCAAGTACGTCCCAGGCTGCGAGCGCATGAGCACATCGCATGCAGGGCGATAGTTGAGAATGGCCTCACTTAAGACAATGGTCTCAAGTGTGTAGTGTTCACGCAATCTGGACAAAGCAAAGTGGGGAGTGATGCCTATAATAGGCTGCACCTCCAATGACTAGACTTGGTTGATAGAGGCGTTATGTATAGAGCTAATGTAACCGGTGTAAGACTGCACTGTACCTGTGAATATTAATTTAGATATCGTAATGGCGCTATTTAGCTGCCATAACGCTATACCCATGTCTGCTTGGAAGGAAAGCTTTACATTGATGTGGAATAGAGACGTGTTGACCTTGAGAGGATTACAGTCGATATGGTAAAGCTTTGCATCCTTGCAAGGACGGAACACAGATTTGATCCACGGAACATCGCAATCTAGGACAAGCACGACATCTGCATTATCCAAGATACCATTGGGCAGACCTTCACTCCAGTGGTTGCCAACATAGAGGTAGTGGTCATGCGGGGAGTTCATATACGCTGGCAAAGCTTCCTATTTCATAGAATGGATTATTAGTAAAGTGGTGCATTGTAATTTGTTAGACAAATGTAAATGTGTCACATAACAGTACAGCTACACGAAGTGCCTCGCATAATTTGACGAGCTCTGGTACAGCCTCAGTATCACGGCCAAGATAAGTAGTGATAACTACCGGAGATTTGGCCGAGATTACACTTGCGACAATCTCATCCACAACGACCGGCGCGAGACCTTGTGGTGCCAGTGGCTTCCACTTTCTGTCATTTACAGTATATGGTGCGATGTTTTCTTCCAGCGCTTCACGCGAGGCTATTAAATATGAAGGCCCTTGCGGGCCGCTCATGGAGAATTGTGTTGCTTGAAGCACAAGTTGCTTGGCGTTTCTTTCCGTTCTAATCTCTTGGTCCAGGACTGTATAGCCGCAGACGATGCCGCGAATCAGTCGTATCTTGGAGATAGTAAATAAGTTCCTGTATAAGGAGGATTAAAGGCATTACTCAGCAAACAGATACTGCTTTGCAGAAATAAAGCATACTTACATTACGTACGCCTGTTAACTCTCCCTCTTCTGTAACTAGGCTAGTTCTGGCAATTATAATAATAGAGATTTATGTCTGTAAAATATTATATATACTACTGGCTATAGTAAATATACTAGTATTAATATAAACTAATATAGCCTGTATGTAGCTAGTAGCCTAAAAGAAGCCTTAAGACTTATTTAGAGATAATTTAACTTAAATAATATATAAAATTGAGTACTTAAATTTAATTTATAGTATTTAAATTAAAGTTAATAAGCTTATTAGCTAAAAATAAATTTAATCTTATACTATAAGTATAAAAGGCTTAGCTAAGTGCTAAAAGTATAAAAGTCTAAAGAAATAAGTAATTTATTAATATTAGTATTTATAAGTACGATTTACTAAAATCTGCAATTAAGAGGTTATATAGTTATTATAAAGAATTTAATTATTTTTATTATATACTTAATTTATTAAATTTAAATTTAAATTTTAATAGCTATTTTTATTTATTTAATATAATTAAAAAAAGAATTAAAGGGCTATTTAAATAAATTAAATTAAGGATTCAAGCTATATCTATATAGCTAGTTATGCATTTATACATAATAGCCCGCTATATAGGTATGTATCCTCTATACTCCACCTTTTAACCTAAACTCTTTAATTTCACCTCAATCAGTTAACATTAAGAGAGACTGCATCAATATGGTGTATCCAGGGAGAAAAAGCTCAGGCTGTTTACTATGTAGAGAGCGAAAGATTAAGGTATGTCGCGCGACTCTCTATCGAGGACCTCATACTGACGTTGCCACTCAATTGATCAGTGTGACGAGAGGCAGCCAGGTTGTCGTCGCTGCGAAACGTACCGTACCCCCTGTCCTGGCTACAAAAGACCACTGGAGGTGCGCCCCTACTTCGCCCCGGGCAATGCGATACATGTCGAGGGATCGGAACCCACAGCTTTGCGTATGCAATCAATTGCAGATGTGATCGGGAACTCACCATTAAGTCCATCATCGACTGGAAAACTAAATTTCCTGCAAGATGAGAGTTTGATGAACTATTTTCTTACGCAGTACAGTGTTCCTTGTCGCCCGGGTATTTACTCGGGTCACCTAGAATTCCTCCCTGACCTCCTTGCATCGTCATCCCCGACCTCCCCGCTGTGGCCAGCCACATGTGCTTTAGCCAATCTAGTTCTTTCTCGGCGTTACAAATCACCAGACCTCTACGAAAGGGCGCGCAAGTCTTATGGCTGTGCCCTCTGGTCTTTGAATGATAATCTTTCTCAAGTCCCCGACACGTGGCAAGATGACACCGTCGCAGCTATCATGTTGCTGCATCAAATTGAGGTATCTCGCCAGCAGCTACATAAACTCTACTTACACTAATCGCGTTTGTCTACTTAGAATATCGACGGTGGTTTTTTCAACAACCAGGCTGCACATATACGTGGCATCGCTGAGTTGTACAAAGCCCGTGGCCAGAAACTGCTAAGCAAATTGCCTGGATGTTCGCTCTATTCCTGGGCTTTTTCGGAATTGGTAGGCATATTTCGACATACAGTATCAACTAATTGACAAGACGCTGATGGGGAATAGCAAATCCATTCCTTCATCACGCAGACAAGCTATGAATGCCTAACTATTCCCCGGCCTGGACCTGATACCAACCATACCCCAACAGCCATTACTATGCTTATCGCCAAAGTCGGCCATTTCTGGTCTACACTAGCAGAGCGCTTGAGCGTTCTGCGGCTCAGCCAAGGGACAGGCCAGGAGCCGCGACAATTACTGCTTCCATTACTGTTCGAGGCAGTAGAAATCCAGGCTGAGACGGAGGCTCAGATCGGTTCTCTTCCCGCCATCTGGAAATTCAAAGAAGTAGTTCAAAATGATGGTCACTTCTTAGTCACGTATTCTGATCAGTGGTTGGGGAACCTTTGGACGCTATACAATGCGGTTCAAATCATCTTCCACCACGGTTTGATCAACTGCTGTCGATCTCTGTCGAACCTTGAAGATCGAGGTACCTCTGTAGATGCTAATTTAGTTGAGACGAGCCATATGGTAGCGACAGAAAACCTCAAACGACGGACGCAACTGGTTTGTGCGAGCATACCTTTTCTCCTAGGGGAAGTCGACATCGAGGGAGATATTATGGCTGCCCCTGAGTGTAAAGCTAGCAATTGCTATCACCTGATTTGGCCGCTTGCTTTGGTAGCTCAGTCTAGGTATAGCACCAGGGAGCAAGTGCGGCTATGTGAACGGACCTTGGAAAATATCCGTTCGACATATGGGATACATCTAGCCGAGTCCGCTCGGGACGTCGCTGCTCGGTTGTTCCATTCGTAATAAGATTTAGGATTCGGGAAGTCACTATGATCTTTATGAGTATCTACTGAGAGAACCTGAGCATCCCGTGCCGTAGTCTGAGCTGTCAGTCGCGGGCACAACCAGTCACATGCGACCCGCACTCTGGGTCGTATAGAGCATGTAGCGGTGGCCGCATCGCGCGGAGCCGAGGTTGAACTATATAAAGTAACTGGAGCAAGGCAATTCGTCAATTGCTACTTGACCACTCTCGTATCACTTTGCTGCCATCCTGTGCAAACTAACGGTCCATAAACTCCCCCGCCCAACGCTCTCTTCGGAAGACGACATAACGAATAAGATGATGCTGGATCTAGAATCGCAACCCAATCATATCCATTTTGATTTGCCGTCAGGAGTCTTTGTACATAGATGGCTGTGTGATTCTTCGCGCGCCATCGTCATCTTACAGCATGGGTTTGCAGAATATGCCGAGCGCTATGTTTGGTCACACGCCAAACTTATACCGGTGTTGAATGCCCAGGGCTTCGAGGTTTGGGCAATGGATCTTTGGGGTCATGGGAGATCGCCTGGGAATCGTGGCGTGGTGGATGTGCAAAAGGCGGTCGACGACCACATCCAGATACGACATCGAGCCGCCACTCTCGGCCTGCATGTTTTTCTGTTTGGGCACTCTCTCGGAGGCCTCATAACGGCCGCAAGTGCTGCAAGGGATGCTTCCCCGCCTAATGATGGTGTTGTTCTGTCTAGCCCGGCATTACCTGCGGCAATGATAGCCCCCGGAGAACGCGCCCTGGGTCTGTTAGCCCGATCAGTTGTGCAAATAGGGACAGGGTTGGCGGGATGGTGAATGTCTTTGTCAAATTCGAGCGCCGACCAGAAAATAACAATTAAAATCTGCCAAAAATCAACATTAGTGGACAAGCAAATAAAAAGTAGAGAGAAGCATAGTGCAAGACGTAATTAAATAACTAGCAAGTACCAAATCCATTTTAATCTTGATTCGCGCCTTCTATTTTATTTTCTATCCCATATTCCATCATCAAT